CCCCCCCCCCCCGGCCCCGAGACACTCTGCAATAGCCTTGCTGCCGGTTTCCCACAACGTCGTTCTGTTTCCGGCGACCCTGTGTTCGTGAGGTTGACTGAGATGGCCGGGTGCTGGGTCGGAGGTGTCCACCTCGTGGAGGCGAGCCTGTCCCTTTCTTCGGTGTGATGCTCAATGTGTTGCTGCTGCTGTTGCTGCTGCTGTTGCTGCTGTTGCTGCTGCTGCTGCTGTTTCTGTTGTTGCTGCTTTTCTGCTGCTGCTGCTGTCATCGCCGTTGTCCTCTGTTCTTTTTGTGCCGAACAGCTCCCTCTGACGTTTACGGTGCTAATATTTGCCTATTTTCTGTCGGGGCTCGGGTCAACGGTCTGCGAGTACCTGCTGTATGGTCTCAGCTACCTGGGGGTTGGGATGAGCGTGGCCATGCACAGGTTCGTCCGCGCTTGCCTGCTTTTCTTTCGGCTTGCCTGGCGGGAAACTGGCGTGTGGATTGTGTTTGCTGGACCGAACTGAGTCGTTTGCTGCGGTTGTTGTTGCTGTCCTCACGCTGAGAAGAGAAACGCGATCTGAACTTTCCCTAGCACACTTGTGATTTTCCGTACGAGATCGACGCCCGGGTCGAAGTCGGTTTCCGTGGGCACAAGGGTACCGTATCTTCAACCCTAGGCATACCAGGCATGACACAAACGGGAGTCGATCCACTCTCTCTCGCGAGCGAACAAGAACAAGTCAAACAACGACTGGCAACTATCTGCTGGGTGTGCCACCGCAAAATCGCTTTTATCGTTGCCTCCCTCGCCGAATCGCCACTCTAAGCGTTACCTCCCTCTCTCTTGAATGCCTCGCCGCAGGTCACTGCAGGTGCTTTTGAGTCACCTGGTGTGGGTTTACATGGGCGTTAGGATCCTGAGCATGGCGGTGAGGTCGTTCTTCGACACGGAAAAGGCGAGTGTTGCTGCCGCGATCTGCATGATCCCATCTGAGCTGATGCGCACGTGCCGCCGTTTCACGAGTGTGCTGTTTTAATCATTATTCGACCATTCGCCTCCGCCTCCGGCGCGGACGCTTTCCCAACCATTGCGTCCTTCCCTATTGTACCCCACCGGACACCCACTGCAACCTCGCTTGCCGCTCTATCGCTACATCTGGATCCGTGGGCGAACGGGCTGATGGGATATATGGCGGACCCGGACGTTGGCGGTACGGAATACTACAGGGGTCGTGGGTCGGAATGAAGTGGCGATCCAACTGGCTGTGGTGAGAGGCGGTACAATCGGGGGTGTCTTGTCAAGACGTGTGTATGGGGTGAAATGCTATTGGTACGGTTAGGCTGCCGGTGTAACCCAGTCCTCGGCGTGGATGTGCGGGTGCGTTGATTGATGAGCTCCTCGTTTGTATTTTTTTGGTGCTGTCATGGTTTATACAACGGCTTTACGTGACAGGGTGATGTCGAAGTTTTTATTTTCTTTGCGACACACCATCAGGTCTAACATCGTAAGGCACAATCACCATGAGGAGCGCTTGCGGTAGCCAGGTGAGGGGTGGTCGTGCCCCAATCCGCTCCTCCGAACTCGCACGCCACTGCCGAATCGCCAAGGCCGGACGCCCACACTCGGTTCTGCCTTGTTTTCCATGTTTCCGCGGTTCCATTGAATCACGTTCAATCGCAACACAAAAGAACGTTGTCTGCTGGCGCACATTACCCCACAATATGTTCATACTTAGAATCCAACCCTGATTTTTTTTTGAAAGGTGGGTTGTCGGAGGCTACTTTGTGTCTTCGTCGTTGTTCAACATGGCCGACCTCGCGAATCAGTTCCTGTGCCCTCTGCCGCCAGACACGGAGTCGGTGGTTGTGAAGATCATCAACCCTGAGAATAACGATATCGCGGCGATGGCCGTGGGCTCGATTGCGCCGTGTATGACGGCGCCCTGGTGGGAGGAAGTGCTCTATCGCGGGTGAGAGGGAGAATGAGAGGGGGGCGGGGGGCAGGCAGCAACAGAGAGAGAGAGCGAGGGGGGGGGGGGGGGGGGNGGGGGGGGGGGGGGGTTAGGAGAGGGAGTGAACGAGAGGGAGAGGCAGGAAAACAGGCAGGGAGCGAAAGACAGAGAAAGTGACAGACCGAAAAAGAGAGAGAGGGAGAAAGGCAGACAAGGAGAATGAAAGAGCTTTGTGAGAGAGGTTCTGTGCATGGAGTGCTTTGTTGCTTTCCCGTTCTTGTGGGGGTCGTCGTCCCTGGCTGCTTGCGGCTGTTGGTACCGCTCTGCTGCATGAAGCGTTTCCGGTCATACAAAAGGTTGTAGTACTGGAGCATGGTGATGCACCTTCGCAACAACGTACGAGAGGAGGGAATCATTTGATTTGTTTTTGTCCTTTGTCGTCCCACTGCAGGGCGGTCTTGCCTCTTGCTGGCCGGCTCTCTGTCTTACGCTTGACCACACTGCCACACCCCCCCCCCCCCCCCCCCCCCCCCCCCCCCCNCGCCCTGACGCTGTATCTGCCCCTGAAGGCCGCGCTACCGGCAGGGTCTTTCCTCTTCGCGGCGCATCACATGAACCTACAGGTCTGGAGAAACAAGCGATAGACGTTCCACCGACACAGTTGCAACCGCTATCGATTCCCAGCCAACGTTATCTTCAAACCCCGACTGAACTTTCGCGCACACATGCTTAGTACATCACGCAGGGAGTGGACAATATGTGATGTACCAAAGGTATTGCTTGGCAAACAGACCCATTGACCGCGTCTCCTCGAAAGGACGAAGCATTGTGCCCACAGGAAATCGCCCATGGCCAATCGTTCCTTCCTACTTTGCCAAAGGCGGCTCAAGCTTTCTCCCCCCAACCTTATGTGTGTGTTCATGTAAAGCATGCCGTAGTCTGTAGACCACTAAACTCGTATCCCGACAGTCCCGGGATCACCATTGTGGTAAGGGGGTGGGGGTGGGGTTCTCACACAAGAGGAGCGAGGCCGTTCTCCTCTCTTGTGTTTGGCATAGAGGATGGGTCTTGTTGCCGGGTAAACCGCAAACGGATAACCTCTGCCGAGGTTGGTTGATGGATCATGGCATGATGTGAGTGGCAACACAAAACTCTTCCCGCTTGTCCACTTGATAACCCTCCCCCTCCCAGCCTCCAAGCAAGGTGCGCCTGTTGCTCACGGCAGCGTGCCATGTCACGCGCAGAATGGACCTAACTAACTATTCGTTACAGGACGTTGCCACGTTGTTCTCACCCTTGCTGTGGTCATTTCAACAAGCATGCGAGCAGGTCTCGCCACGATGACGTGCGCACTCCAAGCGATGAATAACAAACGGGCTCTCCCACTCTCTGTGATGCGTGTCTGTCTACCCTCGTGGTCCGCGCCGCAGGCTATGCTACCCCTCAGCGTTCTTGGGCTGGTGTGGTCCCTCCTCTACCTATACTCTGGGAACCTGTTGGTGACCGTCCTCATCCACGCCATGTGGAACAGCAGAGTTTTTCTAGGGTCCTTGCTGGGCTTGTAGTATCCGGCGAGCAGCTCGGAGTTGGCGCGATTAATTGCTCCTTTTTCGCACGGGGAGGGGTAGGCGCTGCTCACTCGCCGCATGCGTTGCGTCCATGTGTAACGTTGACCACCAGTACGCCTTATTTAGAGGCCTGTGCCGGTGGAAGAGGATGGGGTTCTGGGTTGGGCTTGCGCGAACGCTTTGCTATTGAATTTCCCGTTGTTGTTGGGGCTGTCTCTCCGGAAGCATCAGTTGATGGCGCCCCGTCCTTCTGAGACGTGCATGCACGGACAACAGCCGAACTTGCAGTCTCCAAAGGATCAGAGTCCTCGCCTTCCGTGGGGGTGAGATAAGCAACAGATCGTGATGAGTTGGTGTGCATGGAAGGATGATGGGCCTAGACTTGAAAAGGGCCGATGTCCTCGTTGATTCAGCAGCCACGTTTCTCAAGTCAGGTGATGACGCAATTTTGTCTGATTTGATTTATTTGCAAAGGGTCTTTACGCCTGTCTTGTGTACCACCTGTAAATGTTTATGTCCTGTGTACCCCATCCTACGCTAGACGCAGGAAGTAGTACAATGTGCGAAGACTACAGATGCGCCTATTAGCGTTCAGACCCGGTGCAGCTTTCATTGGAACGCTCCCTGCAAGTACTAGTACTTGCTGGATTCGCCCACGAACCTCACCTCCTCCTCCCACGTTATTCACAAGACGCCTACAAAATGTCGTAATCTTGTCACCCCCCCCCCCCCCCCCCCCCC